TGGCTCAGGATGATGAAATCTCAAGAAACATTGTTGGACTTGCACGGACACGTCCTGATATCTTTGGTACTACTGAAGAGGAGGTTTCCAATGCTGTCAAGGCAGAAATTGAAAAGAAGAAAGATGAGCAACCTAAGCAGGTTATATGGGATGGTCACACTGGTAGCATTGGGCGAACTGCGAACCAAGCCATGTCACAGAGTTTGGGTGGTGAGGATCAAAATTATTTTGCTAATAATGAGGCTAAAAACCTCCCTGGCCCTGCTGCACCTCCTCCTCGACCTGGTATGCCTTCAGTTCGTCCTCTTCCGCCACCCCCTGGACTAGCACTGAATCTTCCCCGTGTTTCTCCCCCAACAGTCCAGTATCCTGCCCCAACCAGTGGTGGTCTTTCAGTTCCTCCTCCAAGGCCTCCGTTACCCATTATGCCATCTGTTCATCCAGCTCATCATCCAATGCCAATGACTTCTGGGCAGCAAACATTCATGTCCAGTCAACCACCTCCATTGCCTTCGTCATCAGTTTCTGTGAATGGACCTGTTCCTCCACCCCCAGGTTCTCAATTCACTCCTGTTTCAATTCCTCGACCTTATGCTTCTCTTCCTATTCCTCCACCTGGGATGCCTATGATGCCTCCACCACCTCTGCCTCAAGGAGTGCCGCCCCCGCCCCCACCTGAGGAAGCTCCTCCTCCGCTTCCAGAAGAACCAGAACCAAAGAAGCAGAAGCTTGATGATTCTGCTCTTATCCCAGAAGATCAGTTTTTGGCTCAGCATCCGGTAGGGACTTTGATACCATCTTTTTTTAATGATAATGAATTAATGATAAATTAGCTTTTAATTTACAAAAAATAGCGACAATATTTATCCTTGCTGACATTGTCTTGGTGCAACCAGGGACCAGTTCGTATTTGTGTGTCAGTTCCTAATGTTGATGAAGGAAATCTCAGAGGACAGGTTCTGGAGATTACCATGCAATCTTTGTCTGAAACTATTGGCAATCTGAAGGAGAAAATTGCTGGGGAGATTCAGCTCCCTGCTAACAAACAGAAATTGAGTGGAAAACCTGGCTTTCTCAAGGATAATATGTCACTTGCTTATTACAATGTGGGAGGAGGGGAGGTGCTCTCTCTCACATTAAGAGAGCGTGGTGGTAGAAGGAGATGAGTTCATGCCTGCCCATCTGTTCAAGGTTGTCGTTGGAGCTTTTGCCTTATTATTGGGCATATAATTTCTCATAATATTCATAAACTCTTTGGTGCTTCATTAATGTTGGTGACTTTATGTGTAAGCTAGTATTGGCAAGGTTTCAGGATCTTATAATTGCTTGGCAACATTGATGTTAACTTTTAAGTACTGATTCGTGTACCTAGGCCTTATCTTTTGTGAGCAGTGGGAAGTAATGCGATTCCTTTTATATGATTAAGTCAATATTTATACTATCAAGTATCATTTTCTCTTGGATTTCAGTTGATTCCATGCAAATTTAGTAGATTGTTTCCGTTAGAACTCTGCTGCAATTAGTGAAGGGCCGTGTTTTTTTCAATAGTTTGTTCATTTTTAGTGTTGTTTCAAATTTGAATGGGAAGTAGTGATTTAGATTTTTCTTCTCTTCTAGTGTTTAGGTCTTCTTATAGTGGGTATGCTCATACGCCATCACAGTTGAATGGTTGGTTTGATTGGAGGACCTTTTAGGTGCTGAGCTTATGCACCTTTAGCTGGTGCTTCATGTTTGGGGTTAACAGGGTTAGTCTTATTTTCCTTCCATTTATGCTTCACGTAGCCATTCCATGCAATGGTTGGGATGTTTGTTGTTGTTGATTGTGTTGTTTTCTCATAACAGACGTTCTCCATGGACTTATGGGAAGGGCTGTTCAGCTTAGCTGATTTATCCATGAATGGCATGTGGAAGGTAGAACGGTCTGCATTACCTTCTTCGCTGTAATATTATTGTATTTTATTTTTATTTTTTGAGCTATCTGATGGCAGTTGTGCCTACTAATTTTTGCAGCATGGAGCAGGTCTGGTTTCGTCATTTTTGGGGAATTCTTGAAAAATTATGAGCAAGATTACGTTGTGTTTTTCATGGTTAAGCTAAGATGAATTTCAGGTCTTAAATCTTGTTCTGCTAATAGTTATTTGAGATTCACTTTATCTTTCTACTGGGTCGATTCATAGCTCTTGAATCCTTAAGATAGTCAGTATGATCCATTAGAGCCACTTGTCTGTCTTTATGCTTCTTATAATTCTTCTCTCTTATGGCGTTGACCGAGTTTTGTCATGGAAGCAGAAGACCTCTGCATTGATGACTAAAGGTTAGAGCAAAACGCAAGTGATTAGCTCTGTGAGCATCGCATATGCATCGTATTTGTATATACAGAAAACCAAGCCTGATCAATGAATACACATTTGAGTCAAATTATACGCTAGCGGATTGTGATCTGAACAACCAACTCTTCTGATCCCAAAGTTGGCCATTCATTTTTTACCTTTGACACACCGTTCCCATGGCCTGTGTTCCTTCTATGCATCATCTTTTGGGCAGTTTTTATTATATTTTTTTTATTTTTTGTAGTAGCTAGGATTTCAAGTAGTAGGAAACCAAGATGATGAGTTTTATGTCTGTCGTGCTATATTTGATGTTTTGGGAATGGGACATTCGTTTGACTTGATGCGTGATCTCTGAGTGACATGAACTTATGAGATCGTTTGACCTGGCCTAGTTTTGGGCCCATGTCAATCTTCACTCGTCTTATATATGTGGAGTCTCATTTTTCCTCTGGCGATGTCTTAGTTTCAGTGTCACTCTATATCATTTCTTCTTGGAAGGTGATGCTGATGGTAACTCTGACCACTGATGGAAGTAGCAAAGTCGTAATGTTTTTGCATTGACCGGAATGACATTTGAGTTATTTGTGATGAAAGCACCGTCGATGGTATCAGTGCTAATGGAATTGGCCATGGTAATTCACTCAAAAAATTTGGCCAGTCTTACAGCTGAAAAAAGGGGGAAGAAAGTGGCTATCTTCCTTCGTTGAAGAATGATTGTACCATATATGTTATGTAAGACACTGATATGGCCCAGATCTGAATGATGGGTGCTACAGTAGTAAGCTTATCATTTGTCTGCCTCGAGAGCTTGAATGATGTCATTGGACGTGCCCTGGGCATGGATAGCTGTACGTAGAGAAGTCATTATATTGCGTTTTGGATTTGTGATTTAGTTATGGTTTGTTTGTGATTTAGGCATGATGATAAAGGTACAGAAGGTTTTCTTTTTGCCCCCTTTTTGAGGGAAGTAACGTATGGCTCTTTTATGAGAGATGTAGTGGTATGAGAATCAAGGGAGGCATATTGGATAGGCATGGGAATTGGGCTTGATGTTGGTTACATTGGTTCTTAAGAAAAAGTCCTGTACAGGTCAGGAGAAGGATGCATTCAGGGCTGCAGGCCAACATCTACAAGTATGCTTGTGGTATCTGGTTTCCTGTCCATTGCTCAGAGAAAATTAAGCTACAGTCGATGAACAGTCAGAAATTTTTTTTAGTTTTATACTATCTTCGGTCTTAATTACAAACGAGATTTTATAATTGAAACTAAAGCTAGTATTTTATTTAAATTAGTATGGATGATAATTAATTCAGTATGATAAAAATATTGGTTTCTCTCGGGAGGGAAACTGTTAAATGTCTTTTAGACGTTCCCATGGATTGTAGCTTACGCAATTCGCAATGGGAGGCTTAAACCTTTTGGTGATATAACTATATGCTTCTTAATTTAATAATCATATGACACTATTTTAGTCATGTGAATTGGTGGAAATAAATGCATGTAATATATTGAAAAAAAATAAATATAAATATTAGGCACAATCTTTATCTGCGAGGTTTTAGATGCACTCATAAACAGACAAACATTAACACAAACTATCGGGACAGAAAATCTGAAATCTAACAGTTGACAATCTCTTTAGGTTCTTTCCTTTTAAAAAGCATATAAAATTATCAATTGCGCCTTTTGTTTTGCCGAAAGCAATTCACCATTATTTTGTCGTTTACTTCTTCCTCCTTTTTATTTAATGGCTAAAGACGCTTGTTACTTGAGTCTGCGAGATCGATGAGGCTGCTGCAAAACTTGTGTTTTGAACGGATGTTTTGTTGTAATTTAAAGAATTTAACAAATTGGTTAAAAGTACCAGATTATAAATTTTATTGGTCATAAAAGCTTGAATCTGAACATTACTGGTATTTTCTATGCATGAAAACATATTAGGCTTTAGTGACCACTAAAATATCCAAATAGTTATTTTGACCAATTTTCTGGAAATATTTTGCTTTAATTTTCAATAAGATGTTTAACGCGTCTAATGACATTGCGTCCCCCTCCCCCCCGGGGCGAACAAAGGGCTCCTTAAGCCCAATTTTGTTTTTCGCCAATCATACTTATAATATAATATGAAAAAATTATTGTTAAATTATCATATGACAATATGTAGCCAGCCCATTTGGTAGGATAAAGTTTTATTGTTATTTTTTATTTTTTTTTGAATTTTGACTATCTAATTAAATTATCATATTTGAAGTTTTCAATTTGTAAATCTTTTTTGTCCTCCCCATCTCGCTGGGGCTCATGTTTTTATTAATTTTACCATATAAAATCTAAATCACGCAAAATTATACTATGATACATAAGAATTCAACTTCCAAAATTTTAATTTGAGTAAAATACGCTAACTATCCTTCTAATTTTCAAAATATTTTTAATATAATTAACAGTTTGGATCTAAGTGTATATTTTTTAAATTGAAAAAAAAAATCTGTATAATTAAGAAAAAATATAAGAGAGGATGGAATATTTTACTCTTTTTATTTTTATTAGGAAGCACCTCCATCAATGGAAATTTCACAGCTCCATGTGGCACTTCGAGCCTGGCAAACAGGTTCTTCTGCAGCGAAAAAAATCCCGATCAACAGCTAGAATTTCTCCATCTGCCGTCCCGTTTCATCGAATCCTCTCCCTCTCAACGTCTCCATTCGATTCTTACCCTCGTGGCCTCTTCACCTCCATTGTTGAGCTTCTGAGTTTCAGCTTTCAGGCTTCGAGCGTCCTCTCCTGCATCATCGTTTAGCTGCGCCTCTGCTTCGTGACTCTGGCAGCGTTGTTCTGCGTCTCCGTGAATTTGCCATTGCCAGGGTGTTTGTAGCATACCTTACTCCTTCATTCCCTCCATTCTCCCTGCTTCGTCTTCTTACTTCTTATCCTGTAATTTTTTTTTTAAAATTCTTTCAATTGTTCAGCTTCAGCTTTCAGACTTAAGAATTTTAAGATGATGTAGTGGCTGTGGACCAAAAGTAACTCCACTTATTGGGAACCAAATCCTGTGTTCGCCTGAAGTCCTTAACTGCTATATATTGCAGAAATATAGTTCCAATATTTCAAGCAACAGAACGATGTAAAGCACTAGCACTGTTCAGACTATATTTAAGACTGGGTGCGAATTTAATGCTCGCAAGGTGTTCGAGAGAATGCGTGGATGGGAATTATGTGTAGGCTGAGTTTACTGCCCTTTGAATTTGTCATTTAATTACCTAAATTTGACATGACGTGTGCAGAACTCGGTAATGGCCGGCTACATCACTATTAGGGCCCTGGTTTCTTGGTCCTTTGTGGTTGTCCTTCTGATATGATATGAACACTGTGTTCTGCGACGTCAAGTTTAATTCCAATGAATTGAAGTTTAAATACTATGATTAAATATTATGAGGGTTTCCGTATTTGCTAGGGGAGTTGGTGGAACATAAAGATTTTGTTTTTGTCATTGCTTTAAAGGTGCGAAACTCTATTTGTTTTCATTGTTTCAAAGAGTTGGCCGTAGAAATCAGGGATTAGGATTAAAGCGGAGCTGCATGTCTTCTATGTTTTTTCTGTGAAGATGCTAATTTCATTTCACCAAAAAGAAAAAAAAGAATATGCTAATTTCACTCTTGACCTCCACTGCCTGCACAGGAAGTTTTTCAACGAACAGGCAGAAATCTTACATATTTTATCTTGTTAGTCTTGTTATGATGAGCAATTTGTTTGTACTAAGCTCTTAGTCTACATTATAGGTGTTAGCTCTTCATGAATTTGCATTTGCAATCACTGGATATTAAACTTCAGTGAGTCGTCATGCTTGATTGTATTGTGGCTGTTTGATCTTGCCTTTTAGATTTTTGGTTCAATGTATTGATAGAAAGAAAATTCCTTCTATCTCTACTTTTAACATACAAAATTTGTTATTATGTCTCAATGGATTTTGCAGCTGCCTTTAGCAAGATAAATAAATATTAGTGTTTCGCTGCCTTTGGTAATGGGGAGTGAGGCGGATCCAGTAAAGGAGGCCCAAATAGTGGATGCCCGGGCTAGAAACATCAGTCATAATGTGAGGTGCACAGAATGTGGGAGTCAATCCATTGAAGATTCTCAAGCAGACATTGCGATTCTGCTTAGAAAGGTAACAGTACTTGTAGTTTCTAATTAAGGTCACTTCTACAGCCCAATCCGGCAGTAGCTTTGTTTTGGACAATAATTGGTCAAACCTTTTAGTATCATGAAAAATGAAATCGATATCTGCAGCATCTTGTAATGACAGCGCTCTGACCATGAGTGAAATGAATTGGCCAATATGAATATTATGCAGGGTTGTCTTTTTACTAACTAAGTCATGATTGGTAGACTTCATTGGTTTAAACTATATGTTTAGAACATCTACTTGTAACCAAAATTAAAGTTGACAGAAATGGGTGCATGATTTTTCGCAAATTTGATTAATTAATCTACTATTCAGATTGTTTTTCTGTTTGCAACTTATAAGTAATATGTAACAGGAAAGCTTAGGTTTTATTGGTCTCATATGTGTTTTCATTTCATTATTTGTTGCAATTACCTGTTATTTTGCTTTGCCTTATCATAGCACTTCAATCCTTTTTTCAAGGTGAAGATGGCATTTCGATATTTGTTAAGTCATTTCTCACTTTATTTAGTTCTTTCATGCTTATTTTAGCTTTGGGATTTGATTTAAATTGCTTTCCATGTTTCTTCCTAGAGAATACGTATGCCCTTTTTTTTTTTTTTTGTGGGTAAAATCAGATAAGGTTCCCTCCCTTCCCTCTCCCACCTTCTTTTCCCCTGAATTTTAGTGGTTTAAAGAGATCCAATTTCTAAGTTTTATTAATATGCTAAGATTCCTTCTTGTTTCCCTTTTTTACCCCTAGTCTAAGGCAATTGCTCATATGATAATTCTTAGGAAGCTAGCCTGGGCATATCAAGAAATAAATTGATGGATTTGGGCCTTGGGTTGGCGGAGTTAGGGAAGATCAAACAAAATAGGCCTGACTTGTTTGGAAATATAAGACGTTTAACTGCTTTCTTGTGTTCGAAAACCAGGCTGATCCAATATTTGAAGTTGCTGCCAATTCTTGTGCGTTTTTCATCATCTTCTGGACAAATTTTCTGTAAAATAATTAGTCAACCATGAAAATTAATGGCTTTCTTTAGCAAGCCTTTGTGACATATAGTAATCCGTATTATTTGTATTATTTTGCAGTTAATTCGTGATGAGATTCGTAGTGGGAAGACAGACAAGGAAATATACAAGAAGCTTGAGGAAGAATATGGAGAGACTGTACTCTATACGCCAAAGTTTGATTTGCAGACTGCAGCTTTATGGCTATGCCCTGTAAGTTTTTCTCAGGAGGATTGAGAACACTTGAGTTGTTTTTGGCCGAAAGATAACACTTGAATTTGTAACTTATTTTAATCTGATTCATATTCATTCTGATTCCAAAATAACTTGTTCTCTGGGAATAGCTTCTAGTTGCAGGTGCGGCAGCTGGAGTATGGGCTTACAACAAGCACAGGAAGAAGACTAATGTTCATATCATGGCTTTGAACCTTATCAGAGGTGTTCCATTGACCCCAAAAGAAAAACAAACCATGCTTGATCTTCTCACACCACCCCCATCACAGAATCCAAGAACTCCCTTCTGGTGGAGGAGATGGCGAGGGTAATGATCTCATACTGTCTCCTTTCAGGATTTGGATCAATCCCTGCATCGTTATAAAGTTTTGGTTAGGGACTCAGAATAATAATCAAGAGTTATAGACATCATAATTTCTCTGTAGGACAGAAGGTGCCATCAGTGTTTTGTGAAGTTATAGCTAATGTATATATCTATAAAATTTAGTCCTTCCGACTTCCTTCTTCAGCTGTCGTGTATCTATCATTTGTCCTAAGATATATGTTCATAGTACTCCTTCTAGTCCTTATTATTATAAGAGACTGTTAACTAGTTTACTGATTGTAGTAGTTAAAAGCACTGAATTTGTCATAAAATTCAAATAATGCTCAATATTATCCTTATCAATGGTGTTAAATTTCAACTTCATATTAATTTTTAATCTCTCGCTAATTAAATATGGGCATATACAGGAAAAAATGTAATGCTTATCGAAACTATCATCAGGTCTTATAAAAAGGACCAAAAATTTCTTCTAGAAAATGTCTTACAGTAAGGACTGGGGATAGTGTTTTTCTCTATTAGTTTACTCTAGCCGTCATGGTTTTCTATCTTAATTTTACACTTGATCCCGTGAGAACAAAGTCGGATCTTCTTTCGTTCTTGTCGAAGAAAAAATGTATCAGTGGATGTGGGCTCAAAAAAAAAAAAAGGTCTGGATATTAGTATTGGATTCGATAGCACCCATGTATTAGTCAACAAGGTAACATTCTACGTATGAAAGCATTTATTTTGCATAATAACATAATTTAATAGACAGGATAATTAGGTGTGGTGGCAGATGTTGTATTGTAGCAATAAAGCAGCTGGACCAACAAAAAAGTCGGTCCCACGCTGTAAGGCCCAGTTGGATCTGTTTAAATCTTAAGGTCAAATTCTATACGAGACATTTTTATGGGGAGGGGAAGTCATGAACGGAACCAGATTAGCTGGATGATAATATCCAAAGGAAAAGGAAGTAGCTTTAGAGGAATTATGAAATAGGACTATATATGGATATGTTGAATGGAATTTCATGTCAGATTACACTGTTGGATGAATTGGGAATTTTTAGATAAATTAAACTACATTAAATTCAATTAAATTAAATTAATCATGATATAAACATGTAAAACTTTCTCCTCCCATCAACATTTGAATGAAACCTTGTTCTCCCAATTTTAAGAGAATATGAGAAATTATTCATATGCCAGCCTTGCCTTTTGGCCCTGCCTTTGGATGGACTTATGAATCATTCAGAAGGATGGTGGCTGCGTCTTCATTTGTACTATACACTTGCCCTTTGTATTTCTATTGACCTATATAGCATAGAAAAAACCAAGAAGAAAAATAAAAGGTTCGGTGATAGATGGAATAATATTCACGTTGAGGATATTTGACCTCCCCCCAAAAAAAAAAAACAATTGTATTGGCAAATCAAGACATAAAATAGAATAAAATTTTATATTTATAATCAAAACTAATTTTTTGAACTAAGTTTTACATTTAGGACTGAAAAACACATACATAATTAACGAAATTAATACTTAAAAATTTTTAAATAACATACTCTCTCCGTTTCTTATTACAAGAGATGAATAACAAAATTACGTTGATAAAAAAAACAGTTAAAATTATAAAAAGTATATTTTTTTTTAAAAATGCCCTCATTAATAAGGAGAGAAAGTATGAGAGAGAACAATTAAATTATTAAAAGAAAGAGAAGTAGGAGGGGGAGAGAGTGAGTTGGAGACAATAAATATGAATAAAATAGGAAATCAACACAAAAAGTAGAGGCAACTTTTAAATGTTTCTTATATATAGAAACATACCATAAGCATCAAATGTCTCTTATAATAAGGAACGGAAGGAGTATTTTTTTGGGATTTAAAATTCTGATGTTATAAAATATTTTCATTTAATATTTGTGACAGCCATGAAACGGTGTCTGTAACAAAAGAGTACGAATTAAATAATATTGTGACGTCTTATAAAAAAATATAATATTGTAATGAATGACAGATTATGCTCGAAAGGTTTTTAAAAAAAGCTGAGACATCATGTTTGAACTGAATGAATATAACTTGTAAAATTAAAATAAAAAATATATTTCCTCAAATCTATAAAATAACAGAGGCCCTTTTTTTTTTTTTTTTTCCACCTCCATTCACTCCGTCCCTTGGGACAAGTTCTTGCAGCCTGAGAAGCCATTGGCCATAGAAGCTCTGAACAACCCGGCGCAGTTAAAGCGTGAAACTGCATTTGCTGTACCATAAAGCAGTCAATACACGCACCTAACTCGTTGATAAATTACTAGTGCCGCGCACAACCGTCTATATGGGCGCTTCATTTAAGGCTTTGAGCCAACAGTTCAGGCTCCTCCTTTTCCATAAACGGTCCCTTATTTCAACTTCTTGTGATTCATTAGCTTCTTCTTCACTCACTCCCTCATCGCATCCTGCATACCCCAGGTTTTGTTTCTCGCAGTTTCGGTTATATTCATGTGGGTTTCTCTTCTTTCTCGTTCTCTAGATATTCTTGATTGGTTACCGCCGATCAGATTATGGTTCACATATTATGGTTTTGGTTTCCATTTTTTTTTCTCTTTTCTCCTTTTTGGTAATAATTTGTTACGTCATCTGGGTAGATAAAAATGTCTCCTGTGGCTGTAGTGGATAGAATGTATCCTAAAGTTGCCTCTATAGTCTTTACCAGATGGACAAGTAATCAGCTGTTTTTTTCAAAACAAAAAATTATGCAGTCCCTAATTGCTGATTAAACTGTGATTTTTCTATCATATTGTATGTCTGGATGAATTAAATCAAGTTTTTTCTGCAAACCTGAAGAACGGGCAAATCATTTGTCTGCATAACAATTTGCATAATTTTTGTTGTTTACTAGAGGGTGCACAAGACTAGAAATCTGTATCGTTTGGCTGAGCCCTTCATTTGTTTATAGTGAATTCAGTAAAGTTTGGAATGCAAGCTGTAAGTTTATGGTTTCTTCTTAAAGTTCAACGTAGATAACATTAGTTGAGAGATGAAATTGTGTTATCGAGTGCCTTATAAAGTTACGAGCAATCATCTGTCTTTTACGCATAAACTTTAAATTTAGATTTAGTCTTCTTCCCCGTGATTACATACTTATTTTGGTTGTTGCTTTTGGTATGTTTGGTTTTAAACTTTGAAAGATCAGGGAGAGGAAAAACTAAAGGGATGGGAGTCATAGAGTTCCTTTGGGTGGACCCATTGTACCTGCATTGATTTATTTCTGGATGCTGCTGTAAATTTCAGTTTTTGTAATTTTATATTAAACCTATTAGTGGATGAGCTCCGATGAGTTGAGATTTTGATTGACTTTCAAGACAATATAGCAGCAATGATATAAGATTGGCCATCTTGGTTCTGAACGGCAATTAGTTTGTTGAGCTGTCACATTTATGAACAAAGATCTTTTCTGCTCGTTCAGCTTACATGAAGGAGAAACCATGTTCTGGAAAGGCAATTGACTGTTATATCCATTTTATGCAGCATCACCTTCTGCAATCATGGAAGTGGTCACAGCGGTTGCTAAACATGGGCTTGCAGCTCATGCCAGTGTTGCCATTAGAGCTGATCAGAAGAGTTACAGTTACAAGCAGCTCATATCTTCTGCGCAGGAGATATCCAATCTCTTATGTGGAAATGACATGAAATCAGTGAGTTACATCGTACACTTTTTTACTGTTATTATTATAGTCATCATCTGTGAAACCGGTCATGTTAGCCTGGTCATCAACCAGTGATTGAAGAGAGGTTGAACAGTTAGTTTGTTGATTGGCATTCATCCTTATATAAGTATGCTATTGACTAAGAGAGAAAACCATTTTTGGTAAATTCTTGAATTACTAAAATCCAGGGAAATCTTGGTGGAGCTCGAATAGGAATTGTAGCCAAACCCTCTGCTGAGTTTGTTGCTGCAATACTAGGGACGTGGCTTAGTGGAGGTGTTGCCGTGCCACTAGCACTGAGCTATCCGGAAACAGAGCTATTGTATGTGATGAATAACGCGGTGAGCTCTGGAAAACCCTCCTTTTTTATGGCCTCTGTTTTCTTTTACTTATGAACATGTCTTATTTACTATTCGAATGGTGTGCTCGAATCTTTTTTTCAAATTTCACTATACATTATCCTCAATTGTCCGCTCCTGCTATGCTATCTTTTGTCGATTCAATCTCATAAAAGATTTATAATAATTTGGTTATAGGATGTGTCCGCAATATTGAGTACTGAAGATCATAGTCAAACAATGCAAAGTGTTGCCATTAAAAGCTCTTCTCAGTTTTTTCTTATTCCTCCTGTTCCCAATAAATCCTCGGAGAAGAGCAGAGATGAAGATTCACAAAATAAAGAAATGCAGGCAGAAAGAGTTCACCAGGGGAATATCAAAAGAACAAGTAAGAAAAACAAGCTCTTGGCTTTCAAAAATGACTTAAGTGGAGGCTCTTGATGGCAATATCAGAACATTTTATTTTACATATTTTTTTCTCACTTAATTGGCTTAGGTGAAGATCCAGCATTGATATTGTACACCAGTGGGACGACAGGTAAACCTAAGGGAGTCGTTCACACACATCGAAGTATCAGTGCACAGGTTTGCATAGCATATTATATTTGGTGTAAATATCAAAATTCACAAAAATAGCTGTTTGTAGTTTATTTTGATTGTAATGTGTTTTTAACCCTGGTTACTTGAGTCAGTAAATCCATTAAGTTTCTGGTATTCTCTTTCTCACAATTTTATTTTATTTTATTTCCAAATTTTGCTTGTTTTCAGGTTCAAACCTTGACAGAAGCATGGGGATACACTTCTACTGATCAATTTCTGCACTGTCTGCCTCTCCACCATATCCATGAAATCTCTAGTGTTTGTTTGGACAGCAATTCATATAATTTGATTAAGCATATTCTCATCTTTGGTTTGTTGGTTGGAAATTATACTATTATGGTTTGAATCCTTAACTCATACCATACATGTTCATGGACTTTTCAATGCTTTGTTGGCCCCACTTTATGCAGGTTCCACGGTAATTTTCAATGCTGCTTCCCAAGCAAAGGGAAAATTAGAAAAACAGCTTTTTAAATGTTCTACTGGCCTCTAAACTTCTTGAGAATCTAACGTCTTTCATGAAGGTGGACTTTATGCCCAAATTTAGCGTGAGAGGAATCTGGCAGAGATGGCGTGAATCCTATCCAGTTGAAGGAACGAAGGCTGAGGATGCTATTACTGTGTTCACTGGAGTAAGTATTATTCTTTTTAGTTATGCATTTATCTGTTACGCGTCACTTAATCCCCACAGAACATTGGTATGTTTATGTAACTAAGCATGCTTTAATAAAGCATAACTTGGTCATTTGACATCATTCATTCTGATGCCTGCAAGATTTGGAAATGGCACCTTTTCTTAGCTGCTAATGGCTATCAACAATCAATATTATATATTCTGGAAAGTGTATCTTAGAACATGTCTTCGTTGAGCTCACGTAGTTCTCTTGTAAATACAGGTTCCAACTATTTATACAAGGTTGATACAGGGTTACCAAGCAATGGACCCTCAGTCACAAGCTGCTTCAGCTGCTGCTGCAAGGAACTTGCGTCTTATGGTAAGAGAAGCCAGGGTCCATCACGAGATATTTTTATTCTAAAAATGTAGATCAGAAAAACTTCTATAGATTTTAAAATGCAGATGATTTTTTTATTTATTAATTTTTGAATTAAAGAACAAAAATTTGACTTTCTTAACGTGAACTTTAGGCATGTGGCGATTGACAAATCATGCCCACCCTGGAACTTTTGACTCTGTTCCCTGCATTGGAGCTGACTAATTTTTTTAAATCTGAAATTTTAAATTACACATATATCATTATTCAGATGTGTGGGTCCTCTGCGCTTCCTCAACCTGTTATGCAAGAATGGGAAGCCATCACTGGGCATCGGCTGTTGGAGCGATATGGCATGACCGAAGTAAGTATCCTGTGGTTTCAGAACTTATGTGCATAGTCGGGAGGAGCGCATGCCATTTGTTTTACTGGTGTCATATGCTCTGAGATTGTATTTCTTCCCCTTCATTTTGCTCTGTTTGACATTAACCTCATTGTGTTCATATGATATATGTAGTTTGTCATGGCAATATCAAATCCGTTGAAAGGTGAGCGGAAGGCAGGCACTGTTGGCAAACCTTTTCCTGGTGTGCAGGTCTGTTGAATCATCCTTTTTTCCCTCTGTTGGTTCCTATGGGTGATAGGATTGTGATATTCCATTCTACTGTGGAAGAATTTATGTGATATGATGAGATAGCTGAACAACATACAAGGTGATTTTACTGACTAATAGGTTGGGAAAAAATTTTCAACTTAGGTTATGAAAACTTCGTTTAATATTCTGAAAGCAATTTGATTACATTTGGGTGAAGAATAAATGTGGAAAAAGTTATGATAGGAAATATGGAAAAATATATTCTAGAAAGAAATGAACATGCTTTTTGCTATTGTGTTTTAATTTTATTAGAAAATTTGTAACATTCCTTCATCAAGAGGACACCTAGGCAAGTAGCTGATTGTTATTTTATTTTACTTTTTCTTTTTGATTCCTTCATGGATGGAAATCTTGAAAGTGGGCTGATTATATTTCCTTCATGAGGAGAAAATCTTGCTTCATAAATAGATGTCAGTCAGCATATGTAAGAGACTTTCTTTTGATTAATGACAGTTGTTGCTTATTGAGAATCTCCCCTCGGTCTGTCTCTCTTCCCCCACCCGTCCCTCTCTATTTCTATCTTTCTCTTCCATATCCCTCTGTTTTCATCTAAGACAGTGTTTGTGAGTGTGGTTTTACATCAAGTCAACTTTCCCTCGTTACGGGATGCAACTAGGAAGCCAAAAGTAAAAGAAGAGTCTTATTTTGATTTTTCTTCTGGTATTTATTGTGAATTTTTTATGTACAATGTGAACATTTTTATCAAATGAATTTTCACTGGCGTCTTTTCTGTACTCATGGCAGGTCAAGATTCTTGCAGACGAGGAGAGTGAAAGTAATGTAAATAAAGTGGGTGAGCTTTGCATTAAAAGCCCATCGTTGTTTAAAGAATATTGGAAACTTCCTGAGGTACTTAGAGAACCTTATGCATTGTTTCTTTGTCAGTTCTGAAATTATCTAGACTCTTAAGTGTTCTATTATCTATATGTCTATATATAATATAAAATCTATATGAAGTTGCATTGTTTGTAAGTCATAAATAAAGCAGCTCATACTAGACTGTGTAAAACATAAGTCCACAATGTAAATTAAATTTTGATGCCCCAGTATTTTCTCCAGTTAACATATTACACAGTTCTACGCGTCCTGCTGTAACATCCTGTTACTCCTTTCACATTCGTTAGTATGTTTCTATATTTCAGCTTTTGGCTTTGATATGAATGAGTACACCTGCCACTGTTGCGCTGTGCTTTTATCAAATAATAGATAGGCTGTGCTTTCGCTCGTCTAAGCTGATTTTTAATTGAATTGAGCACCAAGACCAAGTTAGCCGAGTTTCAAGATGTTAATGATAGAGCACACCAAGTGGACAATAGTATTTCTTTTTACTTTCTTGGAGAAAAAGGAAAAGAAAAGAAAAAATGATCTTTCTTTTCAGTATCCTTTTTGACCTACGCCCTTATTATTCTTGTGCAGGTAACAAAGGAATCATTCATTGATGATGGCTTCTTCAAAACTGGAGATGCAGTTACTACGGATCAAGATGGGTATTACATCATTTTAGGACGTAAGAAATTCTGGATTTCTTCATGCAAATTGCTTATCAATTTTTGTTCCTTAAATGTACATTTTGTATTCGATGGCTAGCTTCTTTCTAACAGGAGTCCATTGTCTTGTGTTGCTTTGGTGATTTGTGCCGTGTGTTTTGGATATAATTTGTCATGGTGCAGTTTCTTATAAATTCTTTTGACTCATTCAAGTTTATGTTGCTGTTCTTTGCAAAATCCACTGGTCTGTCTGTTTGATTCAGACCTGAGGCGTGGCCTGCATTATGGTTCTTACCTTTAATGAACTCTTGTTGGCATACAAAGTTTGATGTGGTATACCAACTAGTGTTGGTCCAAGTAGAAGGGACTTGGGCCCCTTGAACATCATGTCCTGGGTTCGATCCTTGGGGCGGTGCGTATGGAAAAAACACTGTTGGGAGAGGTCCCCGCTATGGCGCCTGACAGTACCCCGAGAGATTAGTTTCTTACCGCTCGGGTGGGAGGATACTCTGAGCAACCAAAAAAAGTTTGATGTGGTATGACCCATCCACTGTTTTATGTTTATGAGCTATAAATGGAAAATCAAGATCTCCTGAGAAAGGAATGAGAACTAGATAATGGATGGGTCATGGGTGTAAAAGGAGGTTCATTTTTTCTGTTGCTCTGAACTTGTGATTTGTGGAATTAATGTCTTGCATTGGCGTCTTGCATTGGCCTACTTTGCATTGGCCTACTATGTTCCTGAAAAGTAAATCACAAGGGTTTGAACCATCTTATGAGGCAAGTTGTTTATCAGGTACCAATGCGGATATAATGAAGGTTGGTGGCTACAAATTATCTGCACTAGAAATTGAATCAGTTATACTAGAGGCAAGTCGAGACTATGCCCCTTTAGATATGCCTTTTCTCTCTTGAAGGATATTTAACTTCTTGTGTAAGCGTTTGTAAAACATTTACACGCACACACAGTCACACTTGTTTTTCATACAAGAATTGAGAGAAAACAGATAAGAAGGAAAGATATAATACTAACAATGACGCTCAATTTTTGTGCAGAACCCAGCTGTGTCAGAATGTTGCGTGTTGGGCTTACCTGACAAAGCTTACGGAGAAGTAGTTTGTGCAATTATTGTGCCAGAGGCCGAGTCTAAGAGAAAGAGAGAGGAAGAGTCAAAACCTGCTCTAACCTTAGAAGAATTATCCTCCTGGGCCAAAGACAGACTTGCACCTTACAAGGTATTCCATCATCTGTCACTGTGCATTCCATTCATATGTAGAATAAATCATTATTTTCATTGACGCCAATTCATTTGGGTCCTTATATTTCTATGTTGCCAGATACCCACTCGATTGTTCCTTTGGGACTCTCTTCCTCGTAATGCAATGGGGAAGGTAAATGGCTCTCACTTTTTAGCTGTACAACAGACATAGATCCTTACATAATTCATATATTTGAGGTATAACACAGAGATATACTTGTATATATGTGTATGTGTATATAATTTTGTGCTACACTCGCATTATTGTTTCGAAATATGTTATATATGCATGCATTATTTCTTTGAAAGAGAGAATCCAGATTACAGCAAACAAACGACGTATGCTTTTTTTAGACCATGAATTGATCTTAACTTGTTCAGAATGCAAGTTAATGTGTTTTTGTGTGTGAAATTTCAGGTCAACAAAAAAGAGTTGAAGAAATTGCTGGCTGAGGAGCAGTAAATTCTAGTTCAGGGTCTCTTTTTACGAGCCAATGCTATTTTTTTAGTATTATGAGCCAAAACAACAGCTATTTAGCCATCCTCTGTTTTTGCGTATGCTCATCCTCTGTTTTTTTCTCGACGTCTAATAATGTAGTGAATATAGCCATGGAATTTTGAAAAATGCATTTGAATTATTGATCATTTTTTTAATATGCTCGCATGAAAGCTCAAAAACATTATGAGGCCGTTCCAATCTTACGATGAACATAAATTTTTATTTCCCAAGTCAAGAAGTTGGAAACATGGTTCACTAAAGCAGGGCCAAGGGCTGCAAAGATGGAACGTACACACAAACACGCGCAAAAAACAACTTAAAAAAAAAAGAAGAATGAATTATCATGAAAGGCTCATCTTGCCGACCAAGTTTTGTTTTTCTATTCGTTTATTATTACTGCTACTATTATTATTATTATTTATTATTTTGTCGAACTTGTCTTTTTTTTTTTTTTTTTTTCGTTTGAGTATTCTTCGGAAAAAACGAAAAGGAAATGGAAAAAAGAGAAAGAAAAAAGAAGGGTCATGTCTACCGCTGAACCTGGAAGGGAAGGATAAGAGATCATTCTTGTGTTTTTGTCTGTTACCATCATCCCCAGTTAAAAAGCGGATTCAGCGGCAAACGGCTTTTATTCTTCTGTATTTGTCTGTTACCGTCAATCAGTAGGTTGAGTATAATATAAATTATGGTGAGATGTGCAGATGTAAATAAAAATGTAAAATAATGAAAAGAAAAGGACACACCGGGGAGTTAAGAGTTATATGAGCAAGTTGACCCATTGATTATTGAGAGATATATATATATATATATATAGAGAGAGAGAGAGATTGGGGGTGGTCTGTTTGTTGAAAGATTGAAGGGGAGCAAAGAGAGATGGAAGACTCAGAAGGTCAGGGAAGACTGGAGGAACGGATAAGGAGCTTGTCAAAGGGGGCGGCAGGTCATGAGGCGGAGGCCGAAGCTGCGAGGGGCCTCACGCTGGTGAAGCTTCACAAAGGCTTTCTGCTCTGCAATTTCAAAGTTCACAGAGGCGTATCAGTAAGTCTGAACCTAACATTCTGATCCATCTCTCTCTCAGATTGAGTCTTGGGTTTATGAATGAATGATCTTAGATTGGATTGATAGGATGAAAGTGGGAAGTGGCATGAAGGAGCGATGACGACTCTGATGGACATCATAGGCAGCTGGACGGCCTTCTCCTTCACATCCCAAAACCAAGTCACTGTTCATCTCTCTGTCTCTTCCTTCTCTAACCCCAACCTCCAGGTTCCTATTTCTCTTCTTAATTTTCCAGTTCCTTTAATTTGTATGTGTTGACGTTACATTAGAATCATATGAATCTGAAGTTTAAGATGGGCTTGTGTTTACCTGCTAATAATCCCTTCTAATGTCTTAACCTCTCAAATATTTTACATAGATTTATTTCTTTAAACATCTTAAAAAGTTTAAAATGTCATTGTTTTTTTTTAACAATAAAATATTAAAATGTCGTAAATTTTATGTATAATTTAATTATCAGTAATTTATAATTTTGAGATTTTACAAAGAAAAATAGAAGAAAATTAAGAAATACCTGTTGAATTTACATGCTAAAACCATTTATTTATCGTTTCGAAATTGAACAGGTATTTTTTATTATTATTTTCTTTAAAAAAATAATTTGGGTGTTTATAAGTACCCGTAATAGTGTAATATTTGAATTGAAGAATATGAAAAGAATGATGATGGTGATGGCAGGAAACGGTGGAAGTAGAAGGGAAGGCAATGGGGAAGACGGGAAAGATAACGTCAGTGAAGGTGGAAGTGAGGAAGAAGGAAGACGGACAAACGGTGGCGTTAGGAATCATGTCGATGGCACCTTCTCATCCCAATCCTACCAGGCCACTTCCTTCCAAACTTTAATTATACTTTTTAATTTTTATTGGTCCCTCCCCGCCTTCCCTTATCATTGTTATTTTTTATTATATTATTATCATGAAAATATATATATATACTCACTTGTGTTTCTCGTGTTGTTATATTATTTTATTATTATACTAATAATAATTTGTCAACGATGCCCTGGCACAAAAAAAATTGTCAGCAACGCATCTCTCCATTTGCATTAGGTAATATTACGTATACGTGTTAAATACAAAATTATTTATAAGTAACTTTTATGAATTTACTAAATTACTACTTTGAGTGCTTGATATAGAAGCCAATGGAGTATTAAATTTGATTATAAATATAAGATTTTAACATATTTTACTTCTAATATTTATTCATTTTATCTTCAAAAATTTTTTATCGTGATTGCACATCTTAAAGAGCTTTTAAGAGTAATTTCAATTCATATAATTAATAAAGATGTTTTAAGAAAGATAACATTTATTTATTATAAATAACTAATTTAATTAATTTTTATAATAATTATAAATCAATTTTTAGCTCTTATTAAAAACTGGAGGCTCAGTTTAAAAAAGAAAAGGACTGGAGGCGGTAGGTTTTTCAATTAAGATTCCTACGATTTGATTGTAGCTTATAAATTAACCTCACTTGCGAACTGTCGCATATGCTTATTGCCTTTGACTAACGTTGACCATCGATAACGGGTTAAAAGCTACACGTCAAACTTTTACAATATTAATACTTTAATATTTCCAAGTTAATTAAACGTTGCAAATTTACTTGTCAAATTTCTTAAAATTACAAGTAAATCTCTAAAAAAAAATTAATACTTTAATATTCACCCGACAATCTTATAAATTTACAAGCAAATTTATATTATAATTTTCACATTGGTTTTTCAGATTTTTTAAATTTTGTACAATTCGAACCCTGGTGCACACACAGACATATCAATGTCAGGTTTGAATATAGGACCTCATTCAAGTATGATGAGTGATGCTACAACTAAGATGACTTGCCATTAATAAACATTGACATCTCTGAGTCATGAATCATCAAGAAAAATTATAACACATTTGGTTTTTGTTGAACAAATCTCATAATTTAGTGTTTCACGGTTTGTTCCCAGAGTGTTCTGCCCAAGGCTAATTATAAGAAGATTGACTTGTAAAAGTATAATCGAATGAAACAATGAGGAACTTTTCATCCCCGCTTACCTTCAATCCGCATGTTTCTGTAATGGATTTTAATATCCAGAGGCCTGCAACAAGTTTTGTAAGGATATTTTGCTCTAAGAAGCCGCTGGTTAATCTTAGCCTCATCAAACGCAACCTCCAAAATACCATTCACGACATCATTATCCTCTCTTAACTTCTTTGTTGTTCTGTTTCTTTGTATTCATGTATTTATTCACAACTTTTAAACTTCTTCCTCCCATTTCAAGCTTTGGCAACTGATCCTTGAAATAAGAATTAGATAACTAATTTAAAGGTGTTAAAGAAATTAGTTAAGTTGATTATTTGTTATAAATGTGCGTTGATCTTCTTAAAATATGTTTTTCAATTATGTGTATTGGATTATTAGAATTATCCCTTAGTAAAAATCATTTGCAATCAATAAGAATATTTTAAAGAAAGATAAAAAAACAAAGTAAATTAAGGTCTTATATTTAATATCAAATCTAACTCTAATCCAACTCTTCTATTAAGCACAAGATATATTATAACATAATTTGATCTTTTTAAGTGGAAAATCTAGAAGAAGGATAAAAGAAATTGCTATGCTTAGTATAAATTTTATATTTATAATGATATTTTTCCCAAGTCAGAAAGTGGAAGCACGGGGAATCACATTTTCACTCAGTGCCGATAGTATAAGTTATGTTTGTCTTCTGTTTATTATTGTAAATATCTTCTTGGCCAAATCTGTCCTTTTCGTTTATGAGTATTCTTCAGAATAAAAAAGAAAAGGAGAATCAAAAAAGAAAAAGGAACAGTAATCTCTAGCACTACCACTAAACCTAGGAAAGACGAAACCCTTCTATAATCGGAACATAGAATAGAACCATCTTCCCCTGCCAAAAAGCCAACTCAGCGGCAAAGAGCTTTATCATTTCTAAAGTCAAAACGATGGTGAGATGCGCTAGCTGATGTAAAATAAAGTAATGAGAAAGAGACATACCCAGGAGGTAGGGTTCCTCTTTAACCTTTAATTTTTACCCCGACGTAACGAGTTATGATTCTTTTAATAACAAGGAAAGTAGAAAAAGGATGATTTGTAGTGTTATCTGAGCGAGAAGAGCCAGAGAGAAGAGAGAGCGAGGCGTGGGAATTAAGCAATCTGTTTTTTTTTTTAAAATCAAATCAGAGAGACCCAAAAGCCACTATCACAAAAAATCTATTTCCGTCCTTTATTTTCATCTAAAATTAAAAACAAAGAAAAAAGATGATACATTTATCTGGTTAATTATACCAAATAAAAAAGTATAGGGCCTCATACTCGTCTGTTGAGTCATAACAGAAGAGTAAGGGGCCAGATACTCATCTGGTCTATTGGACCAGATGAGTATGGGGCCCATATACTCATCGGGTCAATTGATGGGATGACTATATATGAGGTACATATTCGTTTGTTCTAGTAGAACAAACGAATATATGAGGCATATATTTGTTTGTTGGAAACAAATGTATATCGAATTTTTATTTACTTTTGTTTTTATCCACGTCCCGCTTTAAACAGATGAAAAAGGACCTCTAGAACATACGAAAATAGACTTTTTTTTAGTAGTGAGCTCAAGAAAGATTGTAGAAATATATAAACAACTTGTCAAAGGGAACCGGCGTAGGTCATGATATTGAATGTCAAATGAGCTCTTTTACTAATAACAACAGCTAATATATCTCAAATGGTGAGTTGAATCTTGTCATGATATTCATATCAAGTGACTTATATTGTTTTATCTACCACATGAAATCCATCTAATGTTGTTGGTCAGTCATAACAGATAAAGTTGGAACTACTTTCTTGCTGTTTGGGTTATAATCATATATTTATTGACAACTTTTACTTCTTTCTCCCGCTTCATACTTTGGGAAATTTTATGCTGCAACTTTTTCTGTATTATAATTTTCTGTATTATAATATAACTAGATCTTTTTATATTAGATACTTTTTTTTTACCAGGTATATTAGATACTACTCCTCCGGTCCTTAATATAAGACCCATTTAACTAATTTGATTAGATTAAAGAAGTTAGGTAAGTTAGTTAATTATAAGAAAAGTGACACATTTTTCCTAAAATACCATAATCATCTTTCTTAATACCCATTCTCCTTCTTTTACTTAATTATAGTTGAGGGAGTTTCCATAGGGGTAATTTAGAGAAAATTGATAAATATGAGAAATGAGTCTTATATTTAGAACCAAAACCAACTCAAGAATTGGGTCCTATATTAAGGACCGGAGGAGTATTATTTTTCCTAAGTCAAACGGTGGAAACATTGAAAAAGACATTAGGGGTAATTAATTTGTTCCGTCCCAATCGTCCCGTCCTGGTCCCGGTGAGTTCAGAACAGGACGGGACGCGAGACGGGGTTGTCCCATCCAGTCTTGTCTCGGGATTTTTTTTTACAAAATTATTTATTAATAATTATTATTAGATTATTCAATTTACTTATTAATAATAATTCTTATTTTTATAGTGATTTTTAGCTTTTAAATTATAGTATTATTTCAATAAAATCTCCTTCCTCAATAAAATAATTCGTAAAGTCATTATATAGTGTTTCTTTTATAGTATTTTTTTACAGTATTGTTTTTACACCTTTTTTATACTATATAATTGAGCTTTCCACATAATATTTTTTTATAATGTTTTTATCTTTAGAAACCTAATAAAAATTAAGTATTATAACATAAAAAAATTATATAAAAAATTATAGTATTTTTTTTATAAAAAAAAGGGGAAGCGAGACGGAACACAGGACAAAATCCCTGTCCTATCCCTGTTCACTAAGACGGGACGGGGTCCGTGAACACCTCTAGGAAAAGTAATGGAGAAGAAACGTACCTAGGAGGTATAGTTCCCTTTTTACCTTTACCCCTGTGACAACTTATGATTCCTGATTAATTACAAGGAATGGAAAGTAGAAGGGGTTATGTGGAGTGTTATATAGTGGCAAGTAGAGGCAGAGAGAAAAGAGAAAGGCGTGGGAATTAAGCATATTAATTCTGGTTTGTTTGAAGCAAAGCAGAAGCGAAGAGAGAGAGAGAGAGAGATGGACGACCCAGAAGCTCAGGAAAGACTGGAGAAATATGTAAGCAGCTTGTCAAAGGGAGAAGCTGCGAGAGGCCTCTCAATTGCCAAGCTTCACAAAGGTTTTCTGCTCTGCGATTTCAGAGTTCATCATGGCGTCTCAGTAAGTACTTAGTGCCATAACTCCTAAACCTTCTTCTCATGATTCAGAATCAATGAATCAGTGATGTGAGTGTGTGTGTATATATATATATGTATATGATGGTTGGGTGTGGGATTTGAGTGAGTGACATATATACTTTGATAGGATGAAAATGGGAAGTGGCATGGAGGAGCAATGGTCACTGTGATGGACGTCATAGGCGGCTGGACGGCCTCCACCTTCACATCACAAGAACACGTCTCTGTTTATCTCTCTCTCTCTTTCTACTCAAAACCCAACCTCCAGGTTATTATTATTTCGCATCTTTTCTTTATTTCTCCACAATAATTGAGGAAGGAAATGAATGAATCATGATGGTGATCTGATGACAGGAAATGGTGGAAATAGAAGGGAAGGTGACTGGCCAGAAAGGGAGGATGACGTCGGTGAGGGTGGAGGTGAGGAACAAGGTCCGTGGTGGACAAATGGTTGCGTCCGCCGACATGTGGGTGGCTCCTTCTCCTGCAAATAAGAAAAGAGTTCATCAAACAAACAAAAAGCCTCTCGCTTCCAAACTTTAATTAAGTAATCATAGAATACGAGGTAAATATATAAAGTTTTATTTTAATGTACAGAAAATATAATTATAAGTAATTTCAAACATCATTCTAAACGGAGTCTAATCCTTCTCTCTTTTTCTTTAATTTCCAATACCACAATGGGGAGCAGCACCCTTTGATCTGTATTGTGAAGAATATATGTTTTTTTTCGCTTATAATGCTCGTGTATTTATGTGTTTTTTTTTATTATTAGAGTAATTTGTCAACAATATCAATATTTAATATTTAGGGGAAAAAAATTAACCCATATTCATTACATATGCAACGCAGCTTCAAAAATGTCATCATCAGTTTTACTTTAATATGACCAAAGTATTCTTGGAACACTTCACATGTAAAAACTAGTAATAAACCATATCAATTCGAGAAGTAATGTGATTTATAAATACCAGAGCAGAGAAAGTATAAATAAAAGCAGTAAAGCATTTTAATGATGAGACGTAATTATATGTCACTGGTATTGATTTTGGTTTTTTTTTTTCATATGTCGCTAGTATCATTTTTAATGTTTTGTTTTTAATTCTGACCTTATTAATTATAGTAAAGGTGAACAAAGATGATGAGAAAGAAAAAATATATACTAATATTTAATATTCTCCTTATAAGGACAAATGTAAAAAATTTCATGTATTTAATGTTTTTTTAGTATATGAAAAACCTACAAATGACAAATAATAACTACTAGAGTGATATTTTTCTGTTGTGAGCAAAATCTCTCAGTTTTTAATGTTGCGTCAGATATAATTTATGTAATTTTATTGGTATCTCAAATCTTCGACGTGATTAATTAGTTAAGAGATATAACGAGATTGGATATTGCATTTTATTAGTTTTCCTGTTTTCTATGCAAATCCATAATTTTCATTGTGAATAATGTGAAATTTTTGTTACGTAGCAGATCGAAAAATGGAAATAAAAATCATATATTTTTTACTAGAGAAATAAAAATCACATCACGTATTAAGACAAAACTATATTTAAAAGTATCATTAGTGGTGTCATGGAACTTTTTTGGGAAAATGACATAAAAATAATATATAAACTTGGAAATCCTCAAATCATCAGTTGAATAAGGCAAATCCCATTTTCGTCACTTCGGACCAAATTAGGATTTTCAAGTTAAATGGAATGACCATACTACCCTTATCAATTACAAAATATGGACACCACATTTACTTGCATCAGATGAAGTCTAGTAGGAAAGAGAAAACAGAGAACATGCGCAATGCTAGATAGAAGGTAAGGAGAAGGTGCTGGTTCGAAAGTATAAGTATTATTTTGAAATCATAGGACCCTTTTCGATCATCCTCCTAGCATCACTTTGGTGTTCTATTTTTTCATTTTGATGGTTTTGGATTCTAGGTAATCAAATATTCAGAGCTAAAGTGCAGCGTTACGGAAGTCGAGGATTCTTCAAATTAGGTGTTGGTTCTTCTTTTTTTTAGGTGTAAGAACAATTAGAAATTTGAACATATGGCTTAGTTAGTATTGGACAGGGTTTGGGTTCTGGGCAAGTTTAGAAAATTTTGAAGAAGCTTGGTGATGATTCTGCAGATGGGAAGTCTAAATATGAACGGTAATAATTTGTGAACTGTGCGATTAATAGTGAAAGTGTAGTTGTAAAATGCTATATTGAAGTTGTTAATGCAAGAAGTGACTATGTTGGGTTGATTTTAAAAATTGATAAAATATTTTTGTTAGAGAACTGACAATATGATGAATTTTTTCTTTTTTGTTACAGGCTAGAATACAAAAAAACATGTAATATTAGGTTAACATGCTCAAAGAAACTTTTTAAGAATGTTGAAAGGGAAGTTAAATATAATGGTTGAAATGTGAGAGTGAAAATAATAAAAAAAGAAATAAGACTTGAAGATTTGAGATCAATAATATTAGAATAGTTTGAAATTGATGTAATGGTTATGGCATGAAAGCTTGTCATTGATTGCATATTTTTTTAAATATTATCAGCGATGCTCTGGTTTGTCGAAAATGTCATTACTGAACTTGATATTTACTTTAAATGTGTCGTTAATTACTATAAAAGTTACAATGCAAAAGTGCTCTACCTATTCACTGTAAAAATGTTGTTAATATTCAGGAGCAAGGTCCGTGGTGGACAAATGGTTGCGTCCGCCGACATGTGGGTGGCGTCTTCTCCTGCAAAAAAGAAAGGAGTTCATCAAACAAACAAAAAGCCTCTCTCTTCCAAACTTTGATTAAGGAGCGTTTAGAATAGTACGAGAAACACATGAGGAATTTTGTTTCGAGAATCATAGGTGATTCCAAACAGAGACTAATTCTTCCCTCTTTTTCTTTAATTCCCAATACTATGACAGGGAGCAGCACCCCTTATTTCTTTTGTATTGTGAAGAATATATTTTTTTTTTTCCGCTTATGATGCTCATGTATTTATATGTTATTTTTATTATTTGAGTGATTTGTCAACAATATCAATAGTTTAATATTTATATAAAAAAAATTAACCCATATTCATTAAATATACAACGCAGCTTCAAAAATGTCATCATCAGTTTTACTTTAGTATGAGCAAAGTATTCTTGGAACACTTCACACGTAAAAACTAGTAATAAATTATATCAATGCAAGAAGTCATGTGATTTATAAATACCAGCAGAGCAGAGACAGTATAAATAAAAGCAGTAAAACATTTTAATGATGAGACATAATTATATGTCACTGGTAGTGATTTTGGTTTTTTTTTTTTTTTATGTGTGGCTTGTATTATTTTTAATGTTTCATTTTCAATTCCTTCCCTATTAATAAATGTGAACAGGGAGAATGAGAGAGAAAAAATATACTAATATTTAATATTCTTCCTAATAAAGGCAAAAGTAAAATTTTTTATCTATTTAATACTCTTCTTAATATTTGAAAAATTCCTACGAGTGACAAATAGTGGTATTTTTCTATTATGAGCAAAATCTCTCAATTTTTAATGTTGAGTTAGAGTATTTTATTAGTTTTCATGTTTCTTTTTAATGCAAATCCATGATTTTCATTATGAATAATGTGAAATTTTTGTTATATGACAAAGATGGAAAAATGAAAATAAAAATCATATATTTTTTACTAGAGAAATAAAAATCACATTAAATATCAAGACAAAACTATATTTAAAAGTAACATCCGTGATGCCATGAAATTTTTTTTAGCAGGCCCTGGTTCCCTCGGATGAAGGGGACTTATTCCTAGGTTACGTGCTTATGGTTTATGAAGAGGCAAAAGTAAAACTTGGCAAATAAAAATATAATATAAAACGCACACAGAGTTACATGAAACGAAAATAATTTCTTTTTTTTTTTTTTTTGAGATGAAATAGCAAGCAAAAACTTGATAGAAGATACAGATGATATCTAAAAATTAACTTCCAGATGTCATCTTAAGAATCTATAAAACCCAGTTGACCGCAGTGACACTTGTTAGCTAAAAATAGCTCTGCGCACCCTTCCGGTACTTCCGGAATCATCAGTACTTCACAAGAGAGGGTAGCATTAAATCATGTAGTCAATATCCCTGCATTTATTAGGCTTGATTTAAGCTAGCTAGCTCACGCGATTATTCATTGATCTAAATATATAATACAAAGCCATATGCATATCTGAACATAATATCACGCAAAGAAGATACTTAAGCATGCTAAGAAACTGCATGTTCACACAAACCTCCATAATGATTTAGTACACGAGCTTGCAGTAATGAAGCAAAGCTGTAAATTACAGAATCTTCGCCATTTTCTCTCAGATTATTCTTCACCTTCAACGTCATTCCTCTCTTCCTCATCCACTGACCCAGTTCTAGCGCTAGGCCCGTAGGCCCAAGCACAAACCAAGTAGTACGCAAAGTTCACTCCACCGATCCCTGCAAGAACCCAGAAATACCAATCGTAATGCCCCTTGTTCAGATTGCTGCTAACCCAACTGTGTCTTCCTCCTCTTGAAGTAACCCCGTCCACAATGCTTAAGATCAATGAAGCCATCAGATTTCCCATTCCCATTCCCAAACTGTACAGAGACGACCCAATGCTCGACATCGTCCTGGGAAACTCCGAGTAGTAAAACTCTGATTGTCCTATCACATTGAACGCTTCTGCTATCCCCACCAATGCAAGATGAACAAGAAGCCACATTGCCGACATGTCCACAACCCCTTTTGGGTTATCTGCAAACCCTTGTCGAATCGCTGCGGTTCTCCGTTTCTTTCGATTATAGCAGAGGCTATGAGGTCGAGGATTCCGAAGAACAGCCCTATTCCCATTCTGGCCTTGGCGCTGATTTGGACTGGTTTTCTTGCGATTTTTGAAGCTAGTGGCATGATGACGCGGTCGTAGATGCCGACCGTGATGAAGAGGAAGAGCATGGTGAAGGCGTTGAAGGAACCTGGGGGGATTTGGAAGTTCGAGGTTATGTGTCGGTCCATGGTCTTGGCTTGGAGGACACGGAACGAGGTTTGAGTGCTGATCACTGTCATTATGATGTTTGTAGACCATAAAGGAAGAACCTTTATGATGGCTTTTAGTTCTTCTACTTGCTCTGTTGTGCAGAGACTCCATGGATTTGAAGTTGTGCCATCGGGGGTTATATCTTGCTCTGGGTTTTTGATTATGCAGGCTCTGTTCAAAAACCTATAACAACACACAACAAAGACTCATCACACTTCGGGCTTATCATAAAGTTTAACTATGAAACAAAATTAAGTTGTTTCCTTTGTTTTCACATTGCTGGTTTAGCATAACAGTTCCAAAATTCTTTTTTTTTTTTTCTATTGATTCCTCAATTCTAAGGCATATTTCACTTTAGTCTTCAAAATTTTTAAATATTAGCGATAACAATAGCATTGCTCTTTGTCTCTTCCATCAAGTTAATTGGAAATGTCAAAATAATGTGCTAGGATTCTCAATTGTTGCTTGCAAGCAATAACAGGTTTTGGTGTTATTTTCAAATCATATATAAATAATACTCTGCATTAAATATGA